CTATCCAGTGAGCAGTGGTCCCATACCCGCCGTGCCACTGTCTATCCAGTGAGCAGTGGTCCCATACCCGCCGTGCCTCTGCCTATCCAGTGAGCAGTGGCCCCGTACCCGCCGTGCCACTGTCTATCCAGTGAGCAGTGGCCCCGTACCCGCCGTGCCACTGTCTATCCAGTGAGCAGTGGCCCCGTACCCGCTGTGCCTCTGCCTATCCAGTGAGCAGTGGTCCTGTACCCGCCGTGCCACTGTCTATCCAGTGAGCAGTGACCCCATACCCGCCGTGCCACTGTCTATCCAGTGAGCAGTGGCCCCGTACCCGCTGTGTGCCGCTGGGGTGACTCGTGGGTGGCCCCCTCAGGGGTGAGGCCAGGAGCCAATAGCGTGCTCATAGCGACAGGAGGCCAGAGCAGGCCAAGCCCGAGAGAGCAGGAAGGCCACTCTGGGGGCGGTGCCCCACACTGCCCTCTGCCTCAACTGAGGACTGGTGTGATTGGTGGGGTTGGTTTGCTTGATAGCTGCTGTGATCGGAGGAGCGCCTCGGGGTGGTCTTCACCATAACCATGCCCTGAGACTTGTAGCCAGGCTCTGGGACCGGGAATGGAGAGGGGTAGGTAAGCTGGGTGTCCCTCTCGGGAAGGGGTGGCCCAATGGCCTAGGACAGCTCTTCTCTTTGCTTTCCAGCTGCTCCACTTAGCCAGGAAAGCCCTGGGACAGAAGCTCTTTGACAAACTAATGAAGATGACCTTCTACGGGCAGTTTGTGGCCGGCGAGGACCAGGAGTCCATCCGGCCGCTGATCCAGCACAACAAGGCCTTCGGCGTGGGCTCCATCCTGGACTACGGGGTGGAGGAGGACCTGAGCTCTGAGGAGGCAGCACGCAAGGAGATGGAGTAAGGCCTACTTGGCGTCTGCCTCACCCCTGCCCGTTCAGGGGCCAGGGAGGCATGCTGGTGGTAACCCCAGAGCTCCTGGGGGCTGGTGGGGCATCGCCGATCAGCTGATTACCGGCTCCTCCTGGCTTTTGCCTGGCCTGAGGCTCTTGCATTTTTGCTTCATGTAACTCTGGGCTTTTGGGGAGAGCCTGGGGTGCAGAAGGCCAGAGGCAGGGCAGGGATAGGAGTCTACACACTGTGGTCCTGGGCCCTGTCCAGCCCACTGTCCGGTCTGTACAGTTTGCAAGCTTAGAACGTGGTTGAAAACAATCAAAACGGGAATCGTGTGTTACGGCCTCTGGAGATGATAGGAAATTCAAGTTGCTTTTGCCCTGCAGGCGGGTGGTAAGCTGAGTCGGGCAGAATGTATGGTCCCAAGGCTGAGAGTATAGGAGACTTCCAGAAAGTTCTCGTGGGGGCTGGCCTGTGGTTAAGTGTTGCCCAGAAGGAGCTTGATTTTTATCTGGGTAACTGTGGTTCCATCCTGGCAGGCTGGGAGATAGGCCAGGCCCGTGTGTGTGTGTGTGTGTGTGTGTGTGTGCGTGCACGCGCGTGTGCGTGTGTGTGTGTACGCGCGTGTGCGTGTGTGTGTGTGTACGCGTGCTCGCGCGTGTGTGCATGCACTAGGTGGTTGGGGGGTGCTTTCTTTCTTTCCCCCACCTCCATGAGTTCATAGGTTCTCTGGCATTAAAAAAGAAGTTCTAGTACCAGCAGTTAGCGTAATGGCTATGTCGCTGGGCTCCCATGTAGTTGACCGCGGTTCGCGTCCCGGACCCGGTGGCTTGGAACTCACGCCGGGCGCTTGTGCGTGCGTGCCCAGGATCCCAAGAAGAGAATGAAGGAGAAGGGATTGTGGCGTGGCCATCCCCCCTGGTGGGTGATTTCTCACTTTCTGTCTCTCCGTCTCTGTCTGTCTGTCTGGCGAGCGCACGCGCCCTACAACAAAAACCTCTCCAAAAAAAAAAAAGAAGTTCCTGTGGGAAAATGGAATTAGAATACAGTCACTTGGATGCAAAAAAAAAAAAAAATGTTGAAATCCATGCAGTTTTTTTTATAAGATACATTCTTGCAAACATTCTTTTTTGTTCATTTAATTTTTTTTTTGGAGAGGATTTTGCTACAGGGCGCGTGTGCTCGCCAGAGACAGAGAGACAGAGAGACAGAAAGCGAGAAATCACCCTCCGGGGGATGGCCACGCCTCAATCCCTTCTCTTCCATTCTCCTCTCGGCATCTTGGGCACGCACGCACACGCGCCCTGTGTGAGTTTAAGCCACCGGGTCCAGGACACGAACCGCGGTTGACTACGTGGGAGTCCAGCGACATAGCCATTACGCTAACTGCTGGTCCCAAGCTGTTATTATTTTTTAAAAGTTGCTACAAGGCATGCCTGCCCACCAGAGAGAGACAGAGATGGGAAATGAGAAAGCCAGGTGCCAGGTCTGGGACTTGAACCTCAGTCAGCCGTGTTGGAGTCCAGAGCCTTAATCATCATGCTACCGGCTGGCCCCTCTCTGAACTTTTTGGAGATTCCCACTACGTATGTGCTATCTGGCCATTTATAGAAAAGTTTGTTGATCCAGACCCTCGAGTGAGAGGCTCCTTCCTGCTGTAGCAGAGGGACTTCTGCTCATCTGGGCAGGTCCTGCCGCCCCACCCTTCCCTGGCCCGGCCCAGCCTCGGGTAGTTTCCTCATCGGTATCTGGCAGTGCCTGGCGGGTGTGGAGCCTCCTAGGCCTGGCCCCTGTGCACATGTCCTTGGGAAGAGAATTGCAGCCAGGAGTCTGCCCCTCCTGAGGTCACTGCTATGCTGTGGGTCCCCTTCCTGGGGCTGTGAGCCTAGGGGCAAATGGGTACCTCTCTGCCCCACCCTCTTGACTCCTTCTTCTCGAAGGGGTGGTTGACCCCTAGGAGGTCCCAGCAAGACCAGTCTTGTTTGCAAAGTGCCTGGTTCCTGTGCTGACATTTGCAGTGCTCCAGTCGGGAGCCCTCATGTGGATTTGGGGCCTCTGAGCCCTAGGGCAGCTGAGTCCAGCCCCTATAAGGCTCAGCACTGCCCCCACCGAGGACCCTGCCAGGCCTGAGTGTTTGTGCTGCCCCTCCCCAGGTGGCTGGCCTGGAAGGCAAGGGATAGGCAGTCACGTGAGGCCTCCTGCCCTGGAAACTGGGAACGGAATGTCCGAACTGTGCCTCAGCACGCTGCTGGCTGGGAGGGTTGGCTGGGGAGCCCAGCCCCTGCCTCACGATTGGCAGTTCGGAAGGCGGGGTGCTCCTGGGCGCCCTCCATGCCTCTGGCTGCTGGAGCCCTTGCAGAGGCTGCTTATTGAATAACCAATTAACCAATGAGCCCTGTGGCCTGGGCCAGAGCCTGGGTGAGGATTTGCTGGTTTCACAATGGGATTTTCTCTCTCGGAGTTTCTGGCATGAAAGGCCTTTCCCAGGGCATCCACTTGCCCCCCACCCCCACTCCTGCCCTGCCAGGGCCCTCTCTACCCCCCAGCGCCTGTGCCCGGAGGAACTCAAGTCCTTTGCCCTGCAGAGGATGTGCCGTCCCTGGTCACTCTGCTGGCCGCTGCTGGTCTGCAGGAGTCTCTCTTGGGCTCTGGGCTGTGAGCAGAGGTCCCTCCCTGTCCTGACAGAATCCACACCTTTGACTTGCCTGGCTCATCGGCCACGCCTGACCAGGAGTGACAAACCACATAGGCCTCCATGTGAGGGACAGCTTTAGTGTCCCTGGTGGGGCCCAGAAGTCTGTCTTTCTAGTCCATAGATTCTACTCTAGGGAGAGAACCAGAGGGCACCACCTCAAATGAAACCCATAGGGACAGGTGCCAGCCCTGGCCTTACCATGGAAGAAGGACAGAGGTGTCTGGGTGTGTGGGTGCCGGCAGGGCCTCTGGGCGGGAAGGAGGAGGTGGAGGCTGGCAGCTCGGGAGGGAGAATCCACAGCGGGGAGAGGTGGCGTTGACGGTGCTTCCAGAGCACTTGTGCAGATGCAGAGGCCCTGTGCCCCACTCCAGGTGAGGAGCCCTGAGTCCCCCGAGCAGGCTGAGAAACGCGGGGCTGAGGAAACGGCTGTGAGGACACGGGGACAGGTCTCTGTCTCGGCTGTGCAGTCCCAGGGCTGCAGAGCTGGGCCCTGGCCTTGGTCCGTAGGGTTGTGGTAGCTCCCCGGGGACTGGTGTGCAGTGTCTGTCCTGAGCGAGGGGCATGGCCAGGAGGGCCGGGGAGCCGGGAGGGGCTGGCTCAGCCAGGGAGGAGAGCTGAGCTGGGCTTCTCCTGCTCCTGCTGCTTTCTCTGGGGGTGGTGGTGGCGAGGGGGTCTCCCTGTCCTTTCTGCTTCTTTAACACAGTTTTATCGAGCCCCCAGATCACCAGGTGCCCCTTCTGTGAGCTTCCCTCGTCTCCGGGCCCCTGGGACCGTTCGGATAATGATTTTCTGTCTCGTGGGAGGCGGTCAGCATAGGCCAGTCGCTGTGTGGTTAGAGCTTGCGTTACTGAAACAGGCTGAGGGGCTACAGACCGGGACCTTCCTACGGTCACGCAGCCCTGGGGCCCTGTGTCTGCTGCTCTCTGCCACATGGTCCCTGCTCCTGCCGCCCCCTGCCTTACCTAGGCACTGGGTGCCTTCTGCCAGGGCGCTTGCTTGGCTGTCTCTGCACCTCAGCTCAGAGCACTTGGGATTCACCCTGAGATTGGTCTCCCCCAGACTGGGGACCCCAGGAAGGGCATGTAGGGCCTGCCAGCTCCCCCACTGCAGAGTCAGAATGTTGTCACCCGGTGACGTTCAAGCCTCACCTCTTCTGTTCTGTCTGTCTGCCCGGTCCCCATCCCTGTCCCCATGCTGCGCTTTGTGGGAGCCCTGGCCCCAGCAGTCCTGGCTCTGCAGCTCAGTCCTGACCTGGTCCTTCTGGCTCAGTCTCCAGATAAAGCCCTGGGGCTGCACAGGAGCTGGGCTCGGTGGCTCCAAGCCTGTAAGCTCTCACTTCCTGAATTTATCTGTGTCCCCACTGTGGGGACAGTCACTGTCCATTCATGTGGAGTGCAGCAGAGATGTGGCACTGGCAGGTCCGTGCAGCTCTGGCTGCCTCAGGGAGGTGGATACTGGGCTGAACTCTCTCCACGGTAACGGGTGGAATAAGGCTTTGAAAGCAAGGTTGGATGATAGACAGAGTGGCACACACTGGGGCCCGTGGGTTAGGGTGAGAGGGCCACCCCTTTTATCTGCATAGCCTACGGCCTTGACCTGCTATAGCGGGCACAGCACCAAGATGGAGCGCGAGGAAGCCCGTTGCCACCTGGAGGGGAGGAAGGTGGTCCTTGCTCGCTCAGACCAAGGAGGAAGATTCTGGAGCCTGGCACAGTGGAGAAGGGGGCCCTGGTGGATGCATGATGGGCGGGTGAGGCCCGACATGGAGGGCATAGCCAAGGGCCGTCGGCCCAGCTGAGCCTGAGCGCCAGGTGGAGTGAGCATCCTGGCCTCACTTACTGTCCTGGTGGGGACCTTGGGTGACTCGGGTATGATGAGAACCTGGGGAGGGTCCCCTCCTTCTTCCCTCCCTCCCTCTCTTCCTTCCTTCCACTCATCCGGGCATCATTCATCCATGTGTCCTTCCATGAACGAGAGAGAGGGAGAAAGAGAGCGAGCCAGCACTTGCGACAGGGCTCGGATGCCGTGACCCACCCCCAGCCTCCGTCAGCCCTGGATCATGGACACACAGGTGCCCTCCACACTCAGGGAGATCTGGGGACACGAACCCCGGGCCTTCTGTGTGGGCCAGCCCTGCACCACCATGTCTAAACTTCCTTCTGCCCTCTGCCTCCAGGGTTTTAAACAAGAGGATCACAAGATTGACTTGCATTTTTTTCATTGCCAAAGGGCAAGTGCCCTCACTGGGGACAGAGGGAAGGGGAGAGGGAGGAAGCAAGCACCCCTGATGAGGTGCAGTCACGTGCAACCCCTTCCCCATCTCTCCATCCCGCCAGGATTTGGGGCACACGGGCACAATCACCCCAGCATGTTTTACAAGCCACGGGGACTGGGACTGGGCCTCGAACCTTGGTCTACTATGTGGGCTCTGACCTTCCACCAACCACTGAGCTGGCCCCAATTATATATATATATTTTGGAGAGGTTTTTGCTATAGAGCACATGCACTCGCCAGAGAGACAGAGAAACAGAGAGACCGAAAGCGAGAAATCACCCGCAAGGGGCGGGGGTGGCCACACTGCAATCCCTTCTCCTCCATTCTCCTCTCGGGATCTTGGGCACGCATGCACACGCGTCCGGCGTGAGTTTAAGCCACCGGGTCCAGGACTTGAACTGCAGTTGACTACATTGGAGTTCAGCTACATAGCCATTATGCTAACTGCTGGCCCCCCGATTATATTTTTAAATAAAATAAAATGTGCGGTGCAGCTTGGAGAATAAGCCCAAGGGCAAGGATGAAGCAGAGGGCTGAACCGGAAGCTGGGACTCCAGAGCTGGGGCCGCTGTCTTCAGAGGGGCTCCCCCACCACCTCTGGGAGATCCTGGAGGGGGCTGAGGCCAGAGCCAAGGGCCTCGCTGCTGGGTCCTGGGAACTCTGCCTCCTCGTCTGTCAGCCCTCACTGGCTTTGTGTTCCGTCTTGTCTTTGCCAGCAGGACCACCTTGCGTCTCTTGTTTTGAGAGTTTTTTTTTTTTTTAAATTATTGTTTTATTTAACTTTACTTATCATTATTATTTTCCAGTTTGATCAGAGAGAGACAGAGAAAGAGGGAAGGGAAAGTGAGAAAGCAAGCTACCAGATCCAGGACTTGAACCGCAGTTGGCCATGTGGGAGTCCAGCACCTTTACCACCATGCACCTGCCAGCCCTTTGTTTTGAGAGTTTTGAACTTGGCGGGTGCCCTGGGCTGCTTGGAGAGCTCTTGCCATCCTTCTGCCCACTCTCTAACGTCCTGCCCTCGGGGAGGGGATCCACTTCCTGGGAAGGAGAAGGGGAGGCTTCCTGAGGGCAGGGGTGGGGAGGGAGCTGCTGCCCCTCGCTCAGAGTGGATGTACCTAGGCCTGGTTCAGGGCCAGGCCTGCAGGCTAACCCCAAGTTGGGGCTGCTGCTTGGTGCCAGCTCTGTCAGTTCATGGTCAGTCCAGGGCTCAGCTTCCAGCCTCCGCTCACCTCTGTCTCACAGTGGGACCTTGCCCAGAGGGCGTGACCTGACCTTCGCCCTCTGTCCCTCTGGCAGGTCCTGCACCTCGGCTGTGGAGAGGGAGGGCAGTGGTGAGTATGGGGCTACTCTCCCACCCCCTCCTCGCACGCTTCCGAGGCTCAGGAGATGTCTGGGTTCAGGGCCCAGCAAGCGCTAGGCAGGGAGATGATGCCTGAGGCCCTTCCCCGGGGCAGGCATGGCCCCATCACTCTGTGGGTCCAGGAAACACATATGCATGCACACACACACACACACACACACACACACATGTGCACACACGATGTTTGAGGCCCCTCCCTGGGCCAGGCATAGCCCCATCACTCTGTGTCTAACATGCACACACACGTGTTCACACACACACATACACGTGTACACATGATGTTTGAGGCCCTTCCCTAGGCCAGGCATGGCCCCATCACTCTGTGTCTAACATGCACACACACGTGTTCACACACGCATACACATGTACACATGATGTTTGAGGCTCCTCCCTGGGCCAGGCATGGCCCCATCACTCTGTGTCCAGCACACACACACGTGTGCACACACACACGTGCGCATGCACACGATATTTGAAGCCCCTCCCCCAGGCCAGGCATGACCCCATCACTCCGTGTGTCTAGCACACGCACACACGTGCACACACACGCACACACATGAGCACCTGGCGCACAGGCCCGCTTCGCTCGCGCTGTCCTCCCAGGTGGACCCAGTCCACTCAGCGCTCAGCAGGGCCCGTCCAGGCCTTAGTGATGGAGGCTCTGCCTTTGGTCCCTGTACCATGGGGAGGCTTAGCCGGGGCATGGACACCCCACGTGGAAGGCACAGTAAGTGCTCAAGTGCTGGGCACACAGCAAGGAGGGACGGGGAGAGGGTAGGGTGAGAGGAGAGAGAGAGGAAAGAGGAGGGAGAGAGAGGGAGAGAGGAAGGGAGAAAAAAGGGTGAGAGGGAGAAGGAGAGAGAGAGGGAGGGATAGAGGAGGAGGGAGAGAGGAGAGTGGGAGACAGAATGGCGGATTTGGGATCTGGGGCAGCGCAGTGGGGGTCTAGT